ACACACACACACACACACACAGGAATACTATTCAGCCACAAAAAAGAATGAAATCATGTCTTCTGAAGCAACATGGATGGAGCTAGAGGCCATTATCTTAACTGAAATAACTCACAAACAGGAAGTCAAATACCAAATGTTCTCACTTATAAGTGGGAGCTAAATAATGTGCACACATGGACATAGAGTGTGGAATAGTAGACACTGGAGACTCAAAAGGGTGGGAGAGTTGGGGAGGAATGAGGGATGAGAAATTACGTAATGGGTACAATGTACATTATTCAGGTGACGGTTACACTGAAAGCCAAGACTTCACCACTACACAATACATTCATGTAGCAAAACTGCACTTAAAACTACCCCTTAAATGTTTACCAAAAAAAGTGAACTTAGGTTAATTGTAAATATATATTCCAAACTCTAGAGCAACCACTAAAAATACGTAATTGATATGCTAAAAAAGAGAGAGAAAATGAAATCATATAAAAAGTTTAGTTAAAATATAGAGAAGTAAGCATTCCTATGCAGTAAAATGATATAGACAAAAATTACAGACAAATCTCTTTCAGTAGAGGAATGAATAAATTACGGAACCATGAAATATTTGACTATGAAGCTATATATACTCATATATTAAGAGCATTAAGCTATGTTAAGTGGAAAGCATACTGCAAAACAATACATTAAAAATCTCTTCTATATAATTGTTTAAAATGATGGAAGACAAAAAGAAAAGGGAGGATGGCGGGAAAGGAGTGAGGGAAAGCCATAAATATACATACCAATCTGTTAGCAGTGGTTCTTTCTGGCAGGAGAAATGAGACTCAGAATGAATGAAAAGGGGTTATTGAACTTAATTATCATATACAATTTTTCTACATATGCATTGTAATGAGAATCCTTAGATATATTATTTATACAAATCTTTTTTAAAAAAGAAAAAGCAAAGGAAGCAAAAGGGAAGAATATTATGGTTTCCACAAAACTAACAAAGTGGTTGCTAGCTTACCTCTATCATTGGCTGAAAGGATTTCAACCAAATCATTTCAAATAAAAACTTGAGATCCACCACTAATAGTTTTAATTTACAATTTCATTTAATGGCTACTTTGACTTATAACTATTCCTTTTTTTTTTTTTTTTTTTTTTGAGACATAGTTTTTGCTCTGTTGCCCAGCCTGAAGTGCAGTGGCATGATCTTGGCTCACTGCAATCTCCGCCTCCCGGGTTCAAGAGATTCTCCTGCCTCAGCCTCCCAAGTAGCTGGGATTACAGGCGCTGGCCACCATACCTGGCTAATATTTGTATTTTTAGTAAAGACAACGTTTCACCACGTTGGCCAGGCTGGTCTCAAACTCCTTGACCTCATGTGATCCACCTGCCTCTCTCAGTCTCCCAAAGTGCTAGGAATACAGGCCATGGCACCCAGCCTACAACTATTCTTCATACAAGTAGTTTAGTTTGGCTTGTGAACTAAACCAAGGATCAAATACAATTTGGGAGCTGGAAGGAATTTTAGGAACCATCTGTATCTGCCCCCTCCCTTTACATATGAGGAAATTAAGAATAAAGAGATTTGTCCTAAAACAGACAACTAATTACACCATCAGTGTGTTAAAAAGAGAAAAAAACTCAACCTCCTTGCTTCTAGTCTAGTCCTCTGGTAAATTCAATTTATTTCCTTCCATTCACCTTGTAAATATCATCTGTGCTTCCTAAATAGTTCCTGAAAATTTTCCTTTTTCAATCCCATTTCCAAATTATCTGCCTGAAAAGAATTTCACATTTATGTGCTGAATCCAGAAGAGACAACACAGAGCTTAGCATGGCAAAAGCATTTAGAAACTGCCTCTTATCTAACATTTTTGCTTTTATTCTTAATAAAACTGCTGAAGCAACTTGTTTAACCAATGAGACAGACACAAAGTTGAGAGTGGAAACAACTGTCTTGACTCCCAGAACACTGTTCTTCTGTATTTCATACCATTTTACATTTTTTATTTTTTAAATAAAAGGCAATGTGTTCTTGCACAACAAACACCCACTGGCTAACAAGATGACTGGGAAGTCACTGAACTCTTGCAAACTAAGTTTCAGCTATTAAAGGAACAGGATCAATTAAGTAAGCTCTGACATTTCTTGCTCCTTTCCATGAGTCTGGAATTTCTAAGATATGGCTCAATATGTATTAGGTAATGGATCCCAGTGGCAAGATGAAATACTGCAGGTCAACTCCATGAACAGTTTTATGGAGTTATACAAAGCAACAGAAAAGAGCAGAGTTCAGGAACTCCTTAGCATAAACCCAAACTTAGAGAAGTAGAACTAGCTAATCTATAGTTTTAGACTCAGTAAAGTACTTGGGATCATTCTCAACAACCATAAAGTTACCATGTGCCATAATTATACATCCATCACAGGGTTTCTAGGAACTGAATGTTTTTATTTTTTAATTTTTAATTTTTGTGAGTACACAGTAGGTATATATATTTATGAGGTACATGAGATGTTTTGATACAGGAATGCAATGTGAAATAATCACACCATTGACTACAGGGTATCCACCCCCTCAAGCATTTGTCCTTTGTGTTTCAGATGATCCAATTACACTCTTTTAGTTATCTTAAAATGTATAATTAAGTTATTACTGGCTATAGTCACCCTGCTGTGCTATCAAATAGTAGGTCTTATAATTCTTTCTTTCCTTTTTCATTCTTTCTTTTTATTTTTTTGTACCTGTTAAGCATCCCCACCTCCCGCCGAGTCCTCCACTACCTTCCCCAGCCTCTAGTAACCGTCCTTCTACTTTCTATGTCCATGAGTTCAATTGTTTTGATTTTTAGATCCTACAAATAAGTGAGAACATGTGATGTTTGTGTGCCTGGATTATTTCACTTAACATAATGATCTCCCCCAGTTCCATCCATGTTGTTGCAAATGACAAGACCTCATTCTTTTTTATGGCCGCATAGTACTCCATTGTGTATATGTGCCGCATTTTCTTTATTCATTCATCTGCTGGACACTTAGGTTGCTTCCAAATTTTGGCTATTGTGAACACTGCTGCAACAAACATGGGAGGACAAATATCTCTTCAATATACTGCTTCTCTTCTTCTGGGGATATACATAGCAGTGGGATTGCTGGATCACATGGTAGCTCTATTTTCAGTTTTTTGAGGAACCTCCAAACTGTTCTCCATAGTGGTTGTACTAATTTACACTCCCACCAACAGTGTACCAGGGTTCTCTTTTCTCTGCATCTTCACCAGAGTTTGTTATTGCCTGCCTTTTGGATATAAGCCATTTTAACTGGGGTGAGATAACATCTCACTGTACTTGTGATTTGCATTTCTCTGATGAGCAATAATTTGAGCATTTTCATATGCCTGTTTGTAATTAACATCTCATTTAGTTTTGATTTGCATTTCTCTGATGAGCAATAATGTTGAGCGCTTTTTCATATGCCTGTTTGCAATTTTTATGTCTTCATTTGAGAAATGCCTATTCAAATCTTTTGCCCATTTATTGATCAGATTATTAGATGTTTTCCTATAGGGTTGTTTGAGCTCCTCATATATTCTGGTTATTAATCCCTTGTCAGGTGGATACTTTGCAAATATCTTCTCCCATTCTGTGGGTTGTTGCTTCACTTTGTTGATGTTTCCTTTGCTATGGAGAAGCTTTTTAACTTGATATAATCTACTCTGTCCATTTTTGCTTTGGTTGCCTGCGCTTGTAGGGTATTAGTCAAGAAATTTTGCCAAGACCAATGTCCTAGAGATTTTCCCCAATGTTTTATTGTAGCAGTTTCATAGTTTGGGGTCTTAGATTTAAGTCTTTAGTCCGTTTTGGTTTGATTTTTGTATATGGTGAGAGATAGGAGTCTAGTTTCATTCTTCTGCATATGGATATCCAGTTTTCCCAGCGCCATTTGTTGAAGAGAGTTTTCCAGAGTGTATGTTCTTGACACCTTTGTGGAACATGAGTTCATGGCAGGTGTGTGGATTTGTTTCTGGGTTCCATACTCTGTTCTATTGGTCAATGTGTGTTTTTATGCCAGTCCCATGCCATTTTGGTTACTATAATATAATCTGAAGTTATATAATGTGATTCCTCCCATTTTGTTCTTTTTGCTTAGGATAGCTTTGGCTATTCTGGGTCTTTTGCGAGTCCACATACATTTTAGGGTTGTTTTTTCTATTTCAGAAAAACGTCATTTGTATTTTGATAGGGATTGCCCTGAATCTTTAGATTGCTTTTGGTAGTATGGACATTTTAACAATATTGATTCTTCCAATCCATAAACATGAAGTATTTTTCCATTTTTTGGTGTCCTCTTCAATTTCATTTCATCAGTGTTTTATAGTTTTAGTTACAGAGATCTTTCTAGGTAGTGAACTTTTGATGAGCATCTAGTTTTCTACTCTTACTATTCCTTCTCATTAACATTCTGAGAATGCATCTAATAACTCATAACAATTATGTAAATTGCACATGCTATTAAGCCGAAGAATTTGGTTTTCTTTTAAAACAGCATTCAACAACAGTAATTATTAAAACAAAATAACAATAAAACCTAAGTCTGATTCTAATATATTTGAGGAGATAGTACACGAATATAATCAACCTTTTTCTGAAAAATCACTAGAGATAGATCTTAAATGCCTATTCATGACTCATTTCTCAGCTCATATTTTGCCACTGGGCAATTCTTATTAACATATGGTTATGTATTTATTTTACTATATATCACCATGAGCCTTGTCAGTGTCTTACAACTTGGGGATTAGCTGAGTTATAGGAAAGATTTCATGCTGTATTATTGTTGTGGAATTTCTTTTCACAATCAGTATTAACTGTGGGTCTTTCTCTTTGCTAGGTTCTAGAGGTAGGTCTAGAAATACAAATGGAGTACCTAACTCATAGTGCTTATAGCAGTGTATAGCAGTGAAATAATCTATATTTGGAAGAATGTAATCTTCTTAACGTTATACTTACTGATAAACTTGTTTTGCATAGTCTCCAACAGGGCTTGGTGAGCATCTTCAGCTTGTAAAGCATGTGAACATTCTCTAGCCAGTATGGTGCGCACAAGATGCTCTCCACATCCTAGAAATCCAAAGAAACCAACAGTTGAGGAAAAGCAGCACCGAACACCCTGCTTATTTCAATAGCATTAGAACATCCTTATGCATCATTTAAGAGAGTAGTTAGCTGGGAAAATAATTCAGTGAGGGATGAAATGACTTCCATGAGCAATCAGGTAATTTTAGTAAAGAGATTCAGCAGAAACTAAACATGAAGTTTATCAATCAAAAACAAACCAACACAAATTAATATGATACATAGTTCTCTGTGTAGCTAATATGTATTATGACTGGTGTTAGGCACTAAAAAAAAATTCCTCTAAAAAATATTATGTGTAATTGTTAAACCACATTGGTACTTTTCCATATATATTCATTGCCACAAATACCATCAGTTCATAAAAGTGTGAATTTTTCAGGACACAGGCATGGGCAAAGACTTCATGTCTGAAACACCAAAAGCAATGGCAACAAAAGCCAAAACTGACAAATGGGATCCAATTAAACTAAAAAGCTTCTGCACAGCAAAAGAAACTATCATCAGACTGAACAGGCAACCTACAGAATGGGAGAAAATGTTTGCAATCTATCCATCTAACAAAGGGCTAATATCCAGAATCTGCAAAGAACTTAAACACATTTACAAGAAAAAAGCAAACAACCCCATCAAAAAGCGGGCAAAGGATATGAACAGACACTTCTCAAAAGAAGACATTTATGCAGCCAACAAACATGAAAAAATACTCATCATCACTGGCCGTCAGAGAAATTCAAATCAAAACCACAATGAGATACCATCTCACACCAGTTAGAAATGCGATCATTAAATGGTCAGGAAACAACAGATGCTGGAGAGGATGTGGAGAAATAGGAACACCTGTACACTGTTGGTGGGACTGTAAACTAGTTCAGTCACTATGGAAGACAGTGTGGCGATTCCTCAAGGATCTAGAACTGAAAATACCATTTGATCCAGCAATCCCATTACTGGGTATTATAAATCATTCTACTATAAAGATTTACAAGGATTGTAAGGATATAAAATCTATAAAGATTATACAAGGATTATATATCATTCTACTATAAAGACATGTGAACATGTATGTTTACTGCAGCACTCTTCACAATAGCAAAGACTTGGAACCTACCCAAATGTCCATCAATGATAGACTGGATAAAGAAAATGTGGCACATAGGCCAGGTGCGGTGGCTCATACCTGTAATCCCAGCACTTTGGGAGGCCAAGGTGGGTGGATCACCTGAGGTCAGGAGTTCGAGACCAGCCTGGCCAATATGGTGAAACCCCATCTCTACTAAAAAACACAAAAATTAGCTGGGCATGGTGGCAGGTGCCTTAATCCCAGTTACTTGGGAGGGAGAGGCAGGAGAATCATTTGAACCCGGGAGGCGGAATTTACAGCGAGCCGAGATCAAGCCATTATACTCAAGCCTGGGGGACAAGAATAAGACTTCTCAAAGAAAGAAAGAAAGAAAGAGAAAATGTGGCATATATACACCATGGAATACTATGCAGCCATAAAAAAGATGAGTTCATGTCCTTTGCAGGGATATGGATAAAGCTGGAAATCATCATTTTCAGCAAACTAACACAGGCACAGAAAACCAAGCACTGCATGTTCTCACTCATAAATGAGAGCTGAACAATGAGAACACATGGACACAGGGAGGGGAACATCACACACCAGGGCCTGTCAAGAGGTGGGGGGCTAGGGGAGGATAGCATTAGGAGAAATACCTAATGTAGGTGACGGGTTGATGGGTGGAGCAAACGACCATGGCACGTGTATACCTATGTAACAAAACTGCACGTTCTGCACATATACCCCAAAACTTAAAGTATAATAAAAAATAAAATAAAATAAAAAAGAACAGGAGCCATTAGGACCTTCAAGGAAAAAAATGCCCTCTTCAACCAGAAACAAATGTGCTGAATAGGTAAAACACTGCCTTTGACTATTACATCAGTCATAGTAGATTAGAAATATGTCATATTATAAATAGTCAATTAGAAATAAGATTACATTCCTCTTCAGTGTTGGAAGTAGATGTTTCAAGAAAATTATTCAGCAAGACTGGAAAATGAGAGGAAAGAAAAAGAACCAATAGAAGAATGGGAATTCCAAAGTAGTTGTTCACCTATTCAGTAAAAAAAAATAAAGGCCTTCTAAAAGAGAAAAAAAAAAGTATGATTTTTTTTTTTTTTAAAGAAATTGCCAGATATTTGCCAGAAATGGCTTCCCTGTATTTTTGGTAAAGTGTAAATACAAACATCCTTCAGGATCTAAATATCTCTTTGTGAATGAATATCTACACTTCGAGGAAGATCTACATTCATAATCCGGTGTATAACTTTGTGGCATTCCCTATTCAGTAAATTTTTGCAATATTGTTTTTATAATTGGGAAAAAGATGACAATAAAGCTAACAGAAACCATGTTGGACACTTACTATGCACAAACATTGTGCTTAGCTCATGAAACGCCATAAAGTTTAATTCCCTTTGTGCACATACTTGACGTTGGACAGTGAAATGTTACACTTTAAGACAATAATAACTGCTAGGAAATTGGCATTTTATAAACTAAATGAATGTTCAGAAGGTTATATACACATGACTGAAGTCAAAAAGCTAAACCACATGAAGTTAACATTACATCAAAAATACACAATGTATGTCAGAAAGACCTTGCTCTGTTGTTATACAGGAATATACATATAGGGCTTTCTAATGATTGATCTTTTTACCAAGAAACTTTAAAAATTATGACTTATATTCTCTGACATTGATCATCTTTAACAAAGAGCCATGAAACCAAAGTTTATTCTTCTGTAGGTTCCAATCAAAGAAAGTTTGACTTGTGTGGTTTTACCTACAAAATTCCAAGGTTTCTTAGAATATGCTGCCATAGAGCTGAAGTGTGATTCAAAGGCAAACAGTTCCACTCTTTATTCACCAATATTAGAAATAAGCCTTTCATTATATCCTCTTTTTGTCCTTACTTTTCCAAGTAAGAGTATGTGTATGTTCTTACATCTTAGCAGAAAACATGGATTGTAAAAGACCTGGCAAGACGCCTAGAAGTAAAACATACCGAGTTCTTAAAAAAGAAATTTTAGCATCAATAAGTATGACAAATGAATAGATTAAAACACATAATAAATTCATAACTTATGTTTTTAAAAGCACTGATCACCTTTGGAGGATGCTATGAAACCAACTCACTATTCTGAAAACTGATAACAAGAAAACAAGCAAGCACGTTTCTGTCCTTCCAATAGGACCTATATACCAGAGTAACCAAACAATTTATGAAGGAATATTTTCTCTACAGAAGTATCCCAGATAATAAACGAAAAGAAATTAATAGAATTAGAATATAACCATTTATAACCCATAATGAAATAACTGATAGAAGCAATCATTAGTGGCTGCTAATACCACAGAAAGATACCAGACACTATGTATCTCTTGACAAAATCATACCTATGTAGTCTTGCCCATTGCACAAAAAAACTATACTTGAATCTGATTAGGCCTCTAAGTTCAGTTATCAATTTCCAGAAATAAAGAACATCTGCAAGAAAACCTACAGTTGCATCATACTTAATGATGAAATGCTGAATTGTCTCTCCCTAGGATCAGAAACAGGGCAATGATGTCTGCTTTCATCACTTCTCTTCAATAATGTACTGGAGATTTCAGTCGTTGTAATAAGGCAAGGGGAAAAAAGGCAAAAAGAACAGAAAGGAAGAAGTAAAACTGCCTCTATTCACAGATGATATAATTTTCTAAGTAGAAAATCCCAAAAGATCTATACAACAGCTATTAGAGATATCTCTCCGTAGTCTTCCTGTCTGGTTAGTCTAGGACAAAGGCCGGCAGAAAATACCTGCCTGGTATTTACTAGTCCTCAAAATATGGACCTGACCTTCATTTCTTTCCCCATTCATTCACTTGCCAGGCTGTTACTGAGTCCCCTACTCTGTGGTAGGCCCAGAGTGCATAGCAGTTGGCAGGGGTGCTACTACATATTGTCAGACCTCCCCAAAAGTGTCAGACCCCTGCTTGGTTACTTAGTATTCACTTAACTGTCATTCTGGCCAGTCCAGATGTCAATGCCCTGACTGTGTATTCTATACACCAACTCAAGGATTCACGTAAAAACCCTGGATTCAGCAGGAATCCTGGACATTCCTACAGCCCTAGGAGTGCCAGTCTCTATAGCCAGGTCATCTCACATTAATCCTAACCCTTACTCCAGACCCAGCTCACTCTTTCCCAGTATGTTTCCTGTTGCTGAGAATTCAGCATGTCCGCTCAAAGATAATACAGGTCTTCTCTTGTGGGTATCCCTAAACTTTCAAAACCCACACTGAAGATGAATTCTCAATAAAAAAATTCCAAACCCCAACTTCAACACACATATACATACAACCATAAGGAAGAATAAGCAATAGCAAAAAACAAAAAAACTATTTCAAGAAATGAAAATAACTAGACACTGGTTGAAAACAAATTTGTAAAAGGCCAAATAGTAAGTATTTTAGGCTTTGAATGCTACATGTAATTTCTCTCTATCAAATATTCTTAATTTTTTTTAGCAACAAGTCTTAAAAACTAAAAAATCATTCTTAGCTCATGAGCTATACAAAAACAGGCCATGAACCAGATTTGACCCACAGATCATAGTTTGCCTATCCCTGAAACAGAGCAAACTGTAGTACAATAAGAGAAAGAAATGGAGCCTAGAATGATAAAGAGAAAGAAAATGAGGCATTAAGAGTCCCAAAGTGTAAAATGATAATGTCCAATGCATTAATAGGCATTTTGAAAGAGAGGAAAGAAAGGAGAAGAAAGCACTAATATTTGTATAATGAATAAGAATTTTCCAGAATTTAAGTTATTAAACTAAAGACCCACATGGAGTTCCAAAAAAGAGGAATAAAAATAAAAATCCATCCTTAGTTGTATCATTTTGAAGCTCTGGATCAAAGACAACA